GATTTCACACAAGTGAATATATTAGTAGGGCCGATGTGTCTGGTAAAAGTCGTTGAAATCACTTGGCTCCTTCTGGTACCTGCCATACAACTTCAAAAGTTATTTGACTATATTTCAGAAACTATTAAGGCTATGGTATTGAAATTTCACACAAACGAATATATTAGTAGGGCCAATGTGTCTCATAAAAGTCGTTGAAATTACTTGGCTCCTTCTGGTACCTGCCATACAACTTCAAAAGTTATTTGCCTATATCTCAGAAACTATAAAAGCTCTGATATTTAGATTTCACACAAGTGAGTGTATTAGTAGGGCCGATGTGCTTAATAAAATTCGCTAAAATTTCTTGGCTCTTTCTGGTAGCTGCCATACAACATCAATAGTAGTTTGGCACAACCAGTATTTTGAATAACACATAGTACTGAAATTTTGCATAAATTAATATGGTAATACGGCAACTTAAAGTCATAGTCCGCCCTATAGTTAGTTATGGCACATTAGTTATTCGCACATTGGATAACAAATTCGTACGGGTATCACAGAGTTGACAAGGTCAACTCTATTTTTTTTCTCGTTTTTTCTCTAAACTTCTTTGAATTTTTTCTTAACAAACGTTTATGACCTACATACCATATATTAACTTGTACAAAAATGTACTTTATTTATTTACTCAGTAGTTACGTGTAAAACAGAATTTTTTTTTATAATAATTATTATAAATATCATTAATATATGAAAAAAAATGTAAGCATATAAGTACAGTGTATCAAAGTGAATAAGTTTAATTGTTATACAAACAAAGTGGATTGAAAATGTGGTAGTTTAAGTGAATTAAAGAATGTTATTAAATTGAATTAAATTTAAAATGTTTTAAAAGCAACTAGAATTGAATCGCCAAAAAATCTCACAACACAATAATTGAAGACGAGTTCCGAAAGTTTTTTAATTGACGGTTATGCGAGGAGTCCGTAATTTAGTAACTACATCTCAAATAAAGTGCTATTTAAATCATCTATGGTTTTGTAGTTGATGCACAGGCTTCCTTTAATAAAATTTGGAATTAGAATTCAACTTAATTTTTTAACAAGTATGAAATTTTCATTTTAAATGATTTTAAAATAAAAAAATCCACTCATTTTTAGAAATTTACTGTGCTCCTTTGGAATTTGTAAATTTTGTCTTGCATTCCAAACCAATAAAATTTTCAGTAATTCCAAAGCTACAAAATATTAAAAATAATTCGGAAATGTTTCAGGTTTTTTTTTGATTTAGAGCTTGTATTTTGCTCATATTGTTATTATTTAGCAAAATATTTTGTAATGTTATGTGCTATTTTCATAAATTTTAAATAGTCTCATATTGAAACACCCTTTATTTGTAATATCTCACTAAATTGAATTAAAATGTGCGCATATTTTGAGAAAACAGGAAATATCTTAAGAATTTAGAAAAAAAAATAATTTTTATATTTTTTTAGAATAACAAAACATAAAAAAAATTGTAATGGATTAAAAAAACATTTTAATAAAAAGTTAAGAGTGTTTTCTATTCAAAAATAGCTATGGCAAAAAAATTTTTTTTTATCTTCAAAATTTCTCAGTAATCAATTTAGAAAAGAAAAAAAAACATGTATTAAAGAACCTTTGTTTTTTATTAAATTAAAAAATTTTTTTTTATCTTATTATAAATACAAGTAACAGCGGCAGTAGCAGCAAAAAATAAAAAATTAAATTAATTCAGCGAATTACTTAATATTTTCCAAAAAATTTAACTCTTTGAATTTCCTAGCGAAAATTCTCTTCTATGATAAAATTAATAAAGTGAAAATGTTATGATAATGTTAATGTTATGTTATTTGATACTCTAAAAATAATGAATAATATCACTTTTAAATATTAGAGGAAATCTAGAGTATGAGCACAAATAATGCGATAAAACTGAGTAATTCTTATTTGCTCATTTTGCATTATTGCGAATTTAGGTCAGTTTTTTTTTATAATATTGCGAATTTAGGAAAATTTTGACTATTCGTAAAATAAATTTGAACCATGGTTCATTTAAATTTTATTCAATAAAACTATAATGCATGTAAAAATTGTGTGCCAAATTATCGGAAGCCAATATTGTTCCACAATATAACAATAAAATGTAGTATTCCACAATACACGGGATTTCGATCTTTGAGAAAAATGAATAATTTTTATAATCAAAATAAATGCTCATATAAAATTGTCCTCAATTGCGTTGCGAATGGTTGCGGTGGCCCGGACGATATGTCCTCTTGCCCCACTCCCTTGGAATTTATGAATCTACCAATGACTAACTGTTATAATTTATTGTATAAAACTACGGATACTTTTTCCTTTTTAAAAAACTAATTATCCATCTATACATTAAACATAACTTTTAATAGCGCAGTATAAAAATTATAGCTCTAATGCTAAATAAAATCGAAAGAGTTGCAATTTAAATATCGTAAACAATACGAAGAAATAAATTCAATAAAGGATTATTGAAAATTTCTCAATCTTCCATTATAACTAAGCAAAAAATACCTAAGATAACTTTTCTATTTAATATCAACATGAAAAAAGAAAAACAAAAATATTACAATATTATCTTGTGCCTTAAGAAAATATTTTTAAAATATTTCAACAATTTTTTTTTTATTTTCTCGAAAATTTTCAAGTTTTTGTTTAATTGTTCAATTGCTGCAAAAAAAAATTATTCAATAAAAATTCAAAAAAAAAAAAAAAAACTTGAAAAAATAAAAATTATGGACCTTATACTTTTTACTGAAAATTTCATCGTTTCATCGTTAGGGTCCTTCTCTTTAATAAAGTTTAATAAAAAAAATTAAAAAAAAAAAATTGAATTCATGAATATTTTCAATGGAAAAAAGTTTTTACTCCTCAATTCTTAAAAATAATTTTCTTTTTTATAATAACATAAAAAAAATATGCAAAACTTTGTAAAGTGCTTAAGTATAATAAATTTTGTTATCCATTCATTGGAAAATACAAAAAGAAAATCTTGGGTTTACGTGGGGTTTAATTATTTTAACTAGCTTAAATAAAGTGGGACAGTGCAGGTTACCGACTGAGGTATTTTGGATATTATATTATGCAAAATGGATTTTCGGAAAATTTTTTGAAATTTCCTACTGTTCAGCACAATGAAAATTAGCGATTGTCGTCCCCGGTCGATTTTACATGAAATGGAGGGGTTAAACAAGAAGGTGGTCTTCTGTTACAAAATTAAGATCATTGAGATGCACAGTATAACTGTGTGCTGCACGATAAGGCCATAACTAATACTTTATTTATGAATTTTGTATTATTAGGTCCCATATACAAGTCCCATATACCCGCGTCCCACACCCGCTTCTTTAAGTTCAAATATATATGTCAGTTTTATTTGTATTTTTTTACAATTTGTTTTTTTTTTTCTCCATTTTTGATCATTTGACTTTTGCATTTTAAATTTCCAGAATTAGTCGTTTTTTCTTATTTGGTTTGCTCCTTATAGCTTTGCATTTTTGCTTTATTAAAAGTTCTTTTCGTTTATTCAAATTTGTTTTTTCTTATTTTCTTCGAAATCTAAAATAGAATTAAAAGAATATTGAGGTCATATGCCAAATTGCATTGATATAAGTTTTTTCTTTTTGTGTGTGTGTGTGTATTTGCGTATTTTTCTTTTATGTACATATTGTATTTGGGTACAATGTGTGTAAAAAGTAAGTCTATTGCAATATTGAAAGGATATTCCAGATGCAATTTAATTTTATTACAATTTTATATTTTAAATTTAATGTTAGCGAAACAAACATAAAGAGAATCCATGGTATTATTGTACTTTTCAATGTTCAATTAGAAATAATAATAGCATTACGCATTGTCATGACACTTAATGTTATGCAGTTCGCGTCGTATTCTCATAATATTTTAATATTTTAATATGTTGATTTTAATATTCTTATAACAAAAACAAAAAAGAAGAGAGCTTGAAAATAAGTAAAGAGAAAACTCTAACTGAAACTTAACAGCTTAATGATCGATCTATCACTGCTACTACATTCAATTTTTCTACACCAAAAAAGTTCGGGTATGTTACAATATTTAGGTTATTATTTTCTTTTTTGTGATTATCAGTGGTGATTACCGGCTTCCAGCGTCGTATTAATAGGTGTGAGAAGAATAAATTTCATTAAATTTATTTAACCTCAAAAGTTACAAAACGTGATAATTTTTCATTAATGTGTGAAAATCTTTACACTTGATCTGTGATAATTGAGCTTAACAAGAAATACTCAAAAATCAAAGGAAAATACAGAGGATATATTATATATAGCGTGGAGAAACAACGGAAGAGAGAAGATTAGTTCAACAATAATTATTTTTTTCTCACTACAATACTAGGTACACTACAACGCTTCACTTAGAGTGTTGATTCGAAATTGAGTAATTTTATTTCGTTCTCTCCTTTATTTCGAAATCTCTTCTCTCCTTGTATTTCAGAGTCGAACTTCTAATTTTTTCTCACAATAAAAAGAAATTGAGTTTGCTTTTAAAATTTATTATGTTTGGGTAGTAGATACGGTAGTAACAAATTAATATTAAAAATATAAATTACGAAAGAAGAGAGCTTCTGGGGATTTAGCAAATTATTGCAGTAACAGTAGCGTGTTATTCTCTTCAATAAACAGATAAACAGTAGGAGGCATGGAAGAAGCATGAAATTACTATAAATTAAGTACTAATTACTATTAAAAATCTAAAATAATTAGAAATATTTTAATAATTTAAATGAAATGAACAACTTTTGGTATATTAATTTATACGAAAATTATTGAGTTTGATCTTAAAGTTCGGAAATTAATACCAAGCATTTTTAAATTACTGCTCAATTTTATGTTATACTTATATCTAATATCTTTGTGCATAAATTGAATCAAAAATCAATATCAATAAAATTTAAAATTGTTTTTCTTCTCTTTACAGTGTTAAAACTGAATTAATGGATGATGGAGCTAATTCAACACTTTTTATTGCAAAAATTAATAAATCTGATTCTGGAAATTATACATGCTCGATTAATCCATTTCATGATTATAGTATTATGGTTCACATTTTGAATGGTAAGTTTCTAACAATATTGTTTAATAAATTTTTTTTGAAATTTCTTAGTATAGAATTATTATTATAGTTTCTTAATTGTTTTTGAATTTCACATCATAAGAATTTGATTTGAAAATATTTTTTCGATATTAGATGAATTGCAGCAATTCAAATTCAGTTAAAGTCTCAAAAATTAAAGTCGAAAAATAATTTAGAATGGTAAAAAATGACGAAAATCTTGTGTTATCACATCTAATAAATCTTGTGATATTTTTAATGTCGTGACAATGCTAAGGGTGCAATCATACCTATATTATATGGGACGATTTCTAATTCCTTGTTAAAACTCCTTGTTTCCAATAGAAAATGTGTGTAACAATTAATTTTAAAGTAATAAAACTTATAAGGAAAAACCTACGTTATTATAAAAAATTTTACTATTAAACTATTGGATTCGATTTTGTTTAAAAATGACTTCTCTATTTCCACAATGACATTAAAGTAAAAATTTAAAAATATTAAGAACTTTGGATAGTTTAAGCAAATTTTATACTCACAATAACCAATTTTTTTTTTCTTCAAATATTTTGAGGCTATTTTGTTTTTTCTTTTTAACTATAAAAGATTCCTTTGGGCAAAGGATTAATTCAATTATAATTTTCAACGTAAAATCATTTTTTTTTTCTCTCTTTTTTTATTATTTTGTTATTCATTCTAAATAAAAATAATAAGATTATAGTATAATGATAAAGGGTCACCTGAAAAAAGAAAAACGAAGGAAATAAAATCAAGGACATTATTGTGTCTGAAAAAGGACAATTATGTCCTTTTTTTCTCAACGTCTTTATTTTTTGTTACTGTTGTCTATTTAAATAGTTTCTTGTTTTCTTTGTATCTTTTGAAATGAAAGAGAGAAAAAAAAAGGTTAAAGAATATTTTGACAACAAATGCATAAGGGATTCGTTTCTTTTTCGGACAAAGAAAGTTATTTTATAAAAAACGTAAAGAGCGAGAGCGTGAGAGAGAATGAAAACGGGGAATGAAGTAAATATGAATTATTTTAAAAGAAAATTTTACATTGAATTTGAATTGAAGACATGAAATGTCCTTGAAATTTCCATTTATTATTTAATTGAATAGAAAATCCCGTATTTTTATTTCTCATTTTTTAATTCACCGCTAGGGTTACGTTGCAGAATTATAGTTAAAAAGTTAAGAGTACTTTAATGTTCATCCTCATAGTCAGGGCCTTATATGACCCAAAATTAATTTTAAACTCTTTCCCTTGTAATTTGATAAGCTTTTCATTTTATTCTCCAAAACTGACTTGAACAATTTAAATTTAACAAAAAATCGGATTCTCAATAATATTTTCTCTGCAAAAAAGCACACATTGTACATTGAAAACTGTGTAAGTCAATTTGTTATAGTTTAATTGAAGTACTGCAGTTAAATACGATCAAAAATTTGTAAGTTGCTGAAATTTTTCTAAAAAATTAAATTCGAATATATTTGACTATTCTTTTCAAATTAATTTACGAATTTTTTCTATCTGATGTTTATAGTTAAAGTTCTTTGAATAATTTAATCAATGTACCGTGGTTGATTGGTTGTTTAATGTGGGATGTGTAACAGATCCATCGCACCTTAAGTAGCACATTATATGTGCCGTTCTTCCACCACTACCCCGTGGTATCACCAGGCCATCATTGAGCGTACGATTTTCGGTTCTTTTGAAGAATCTATCTAAATCACCGATAATAATATTCGCCCAGAGCTGGAAAGTCGCAGAAAAGGTGAAAAATTGAACTATATTCAGGAACGAAATTGTATTATATCCAAGTTTTTAGCTCAATTTACTGGAACATAAATTTACGGCTAAGCTAGCACTATTTTTTAAATTTAGAAATTTCGAAATTCATTTTTTTAATAATTTTAATATTTGAAAGTTTTCCTTTTCCTTGTAACATGTTGGATTCGAACTTCACACTCAAACATACCATAAATCCTCTTCCTATATATTTGTAACCTTACTTTAATTTAAATTTTTCTTTAAGGTAGAAATTTTATAAAATTTTATAAAAATTAATTTTTTTTTTTAAAGGTAATCTTGAGCATTTCAATTTTCATTCAAAAAATAATTTTTAAGATTTGATCTTATTCATAGTGTAGGTGGTTTTTGATCTTTATATATTTTTTTTTTTGATTACCCCCTCAAGATTTAAACGTCAATGATTTCTATTGTACTTGAAGTTTTTCTTTTTTATGTTAAAAAGAAAAAATTCAAAGAAGACTTTTGAATTTTGTTTTAATAGTTTTTCTTCAAAAAAATAAACAATAAACAACCCAAATTCTTCGAAAAATGGAAAAGACAAAATTAAATAAAAATCCTTAAAGAAATCCAGAAGGTTTTTTACTCCTGAATGTTAAAAAAATTAAATTCATACTAGACCGCCATTTTACATTAAATTTAAATTTAAAAATGTTGATAAATAAGAAAATTTTATGGAAATTTTTCGAGAGTTTTCTCTTGTTAATTTTATAAATGTTTTAGATAGCTATTTGCACTAAAATCAATGTCAATCTTAAAAGTTGAATTTAATATGGGATCTTGAAACAAAATTTTAGATACTATTATCCTGAAATATGAAAAATAAGTTAGGTTTAGGTTGATGAGAGTATTCTAGAATGCACCTAGATCAAATAATCACGTTGTGATACCGCTGGATCTCCATATTGAACCATCGCGTGAACCAGCCCGAGTCCTTTATAAACTGGTTTAAATATCTGGCATTGACATTCGCCAAGGAATCCACGTCTTTCCCCTGCCAAAGATGAGCATGAGCATAGAAAATGAGTCATCCACGTCACAGAAACTCTTGGATAAATCGTTAGCGGAGTGCTCCATCCCCCTGGCGTGCTCTCCAATTAGACAGTGCTCAGTTATAACATCAGATCGCCCGACATGTTGTTCCATTGTCTCTTCTTCTGTAGGCACGTCTTCAGATGCATCCCCAAGTCCTCCTTTTCAAATTTTTAAGATCCGGCCTGTAGTTTTCTTGGATTCCGCTGTGAGCCGAAACCCAAATTGGGTTAATTTCGAATGACTGTGCCTTCTCATTAAGAAATAAATAAATAATCTGCAATCCCGAGTCGTTCCAGAAGTGAACGTCTCCATTTCCAACGCCCTTATCGCTGCCTGACTGTCCGTGAAAATGTGGAAACACTAACATGATGTCACATTGCCTGCCAGCTATTTCAAAATCTGTTTTATTGCGAGCACTCCCGCATGAAAGACGAGGAGTTGTGCGGAGGACCCAATACAATAAAGACCAAAATGTTCATCATTGTATTCGTGTATAAAATTGCCATTTTCGAAATCATAGAATTTAATTGAACAATAAAATTACAGAAAAACTCTGAACTGAAGAATTTTGAAATTTCTTACCTTATTTACTTACGAATTTATAAATTCCCCGTAGTAATTCAAATAAATTTTTATTTAGATTTTTTAATCTAGCTATTAGAACTTAATAATTATGCAAATATTATTTTAAAAAGACGTCCTTCTAATCTTTGTTATCAATTTCCATTTCAACCTTTGAAGAATTTTTTCATTTAATTTTTAAAATAATTTAATATTATAATATTATGATTATAATAATTATGTAGATACCATTTTCGAATTAATTTAATTAATTAAATGTTGAAGAAAAAGGGCAAGGCTCTTCTTTTACTCTTACTTTCTTTATAAAGATTTCTTGGGATTAACGCCTAATTAAAGACCAAATTGTCATCTTTATTACAATATATTTTTTTTCTCCTTTTACTTTAAAGGACTATTGAAAAGGAGAAAGAATTTAGAAGAAAAAAGTATTGTCGTTGGAATGCAAAAAATCTAACAAAAAAAAAAGTTCCAGACGATTGCCATTAACAAACATAAACACAAAAAGAGAAAGTATTTGTAAATTTTCTTGAAATTGTTTAGTAGCCTTAAGAAATAGTAGGAGAGAAAAATGGAATCTTTTTCTTATTTAGAATTATGTAGATCTAATTAAAAATGTCTATTTTAGCTCTATTCTTCTTCTTATACACTTTTGAATTATACTGGAATTGTCACATGTAATCGGCGTTCTACTTATAATCATTAAATTAAATGGTTACAAAATTTAAGAACCTCTCTAGACTATAAGTATTTTAATTTGGTTTAATGTCGATTACAATCGTTTGAATAATTAACTAATATATTTCTACAGGTACTTTGAATAATAGGTCATTAAAATGTTAAAAAATTTTAAAAAAACTTCACTAAAATTTTATCTATATCAGTAAAATAAAAAATTATAAGTTTATTTATAAAATAAAATTCTTTCTTCCCTTATTTAATTAACAATTTCCGATCAGATACAAAAAAAAATCTTTGCAATTCTAAATTATAAAATTATATTCGAAAAATCTTTAGAATGTGGTAAATTCGCCTGTTTTTAATGCCGTTTCTTAGAAAATTTGTAGAAATATTAAAAAAATGTCTGTCTGAAACGCAAAATATTAGCCTAATCGCTGAAATATGCCAAAGGGTGTGTCTGAAATGCAATTTCATGAAAAAATCGTCAAAATATAAAAAAATGTCTATCTGGAACGAAATTTCCAAGAAAAAGCGCTGAAACATGCAAAAATTTCTATCTGTAAGGGAATTTGTTAAAAAAATCGCTGAGATATGAAAAAACGTCAGCCTAGAAAGAAATTTCTAAGAAAAACCGATAAAACATGCAAAAATGTTTGTCTGGAACTCAATTTCTCGAAAAAATCGCTAAGATATGAAAAACTGTCTTCATAGAAGGAAAGTTCTTGTAAAAATCGAAATGTATATCTGGAACGAAATTCTCGAAAAAATCGCTAAAATATGAAAGAACCCCTGTCTGGGATGTAATTCCTTAAAAAAATCGCTGAGATATACAAAAACGTCTGTCTGGAAAATATGAAAAAAATGTCTATCTGGAACGAAATTTCCAAGAAAAAG